CCTTTTTCGTCGATACGAATGGTTTTGCATTATTCGGAGAGGACCGATGAGCATTAAAGAAATTTTCGGAGGTCTTGTCGATAGAATCGAAACCTGCAAGAATATCGAGAGGTGCATTCATGCCCGGTGGTGGAGAACTAGCAATGCTAAGTGTGCGAACAGTACGAAGGCGAGCCAGGCTATCATCGGTCGGATAACCGTCTCGACAGATTTGATAGGCCGGTGAACGAGGCCCTGCGTCTAGCTGGCCGCACAGCACCCATCGAAACAAGGTGGAGTCCAAACCGTAGCCCGGTGAGAAAGAGTTGTCAGTCGCCTCGCCATTGATAGGAAGTTCAGCTGACTTAGATCCGTTGACCAGAGAGAGTGAATCAGACAACTGAGACAATAAAAAAGTTAAATGTAGGCAATAAAGAGAAGTGATCATAAAACCCGATGCACAAATTCTAAATTTAGCAATCTGGTAATCATCCGCGCCAGGTTAAGTTATAGTCCGACGAGATTGCGGTAGTACTTCTTACTGTATTAACTATTGCATTTTGGTGATGCTGTTAGAAAGGATGAAATGGACAAAGATAATTCCTTTGCAAGTGAGATCAATAAATAAGATCTATGAAAAATAAGTAATCGGCTTAGTATTTTTCAACATCAGGTAATATTGCTTGCGATAGCCAATTGAGGAGCAAAGCACTCATTTACTACCGAAGTAACCAATTTCACGAGGGAAGATTGCATTAAATTTTGCCAAGATATGTTCGCGAATTTGTGGACCTTGTCTCGAGAGGGCAGTTAAATGAATCCTTAGAAATATTTGAGTTCGTTGAAATGCACTAAGTAAAATATTCAAAGATGCAATGAAAGGTAGCCATAACAATACATCAGAAACTGGCTCGCCCTAAATCTTAAAATGTTAGTGTCTATCATGAATAATAATCCGCCTGACAATTGGGATAAGAGTATCAAATTGGCAGTGAAAAAATCAGGTAATAAGACAAAAATAACACCTCAATGAGACCAGCAGAATT